CTGGGAGTTGACGTCCACTCATCTTAAATTTGCTACCGGTTGGGAAATATTGGTGTCTATATAGTGAGAGCAGATAGAAGGATGCAGTGGTCTAGGAGTAGAGCTCTCGTCTCACAATCCGGAGGCTGTGAGTTCAATCCTAGGTAGAGACCGATATCTCTGGGCACAACTGAGAATATATCTGCTGGGGGGGAAAAAAACCTCCACAGTAGTGACAGGAAGGGCATCCAGCCAGTAAACATTCAGTAAACATTCGGACTCCACCCCGCAAGGCATTAAGGGGGGTCGTTAAAAGAAGATGATATAGTGAGAACAGGTACAGGGGGCACATTGTAGCATAAATTGTACTGGGTTTGCACCAATATAACCCTTCTTACTTCATCCACACCTGAAAGCAGGGAAGGGAAAGATCTGTTTATATATATATTTGTTTTGTTTTACCAAGAAGAATAAAATGCAAAACAGGAAACTTACATCTAGCGCTAGCAACAAAAGGACGAAAAATGGTGCCCGAGAAAAGGGGGAAATGACCCACATACCAGATAAATCTAACATTAAACATGAAGAATCCAGCCCAACTGGGTGGTGGGAAAAAGAAAACCGGATACATTCTCTTCTATATAATGGGTCTACAAATAGTTCTAAGTTTGTTGTAAGCTTTCCCAATTCTTGTTTGATAAGAATGCTATATTAAATAAATATTCCCAGACGAGAGCATCTCTGTCTGATAATCGAATCGACACAACACCTAATCATAATATATGGGTGGGTGGGGAAACCAGATCTGATTGTGAATCAACCATTAGATTTGAGTGGGTTGTTGTTGTTGTTTTCTAGTTCTCTTCCCATCCTTGCCCTTACATGAGAAGGAGGTTGTGTCTGTGACCTTGGCTCCTCTAATCCATGAAGGGTGTCGTGGAATGCAAGCCCGCCTTGTAAATTCTCTTTTAAAAGGAGAGATTCTTCATGCGAGTAAACGGGACTTCTGTGCTCCCATTCTGCAGATACATTCAGAGAACCGTAAGCCACCCCACCATGCTGCAGGACCCAGATGTCCGGGAATTCTTGGAAAAGGATGAGGTAGGTTTGCTGCCGTAACCAGGGTCTGTGCTTGGATGGACTAAGCCAGGCTTCCAGCAACCATTTGGCCCTCAGGGACCAGTTCCAAAGACCAGAGGAGGTGTGTGGTTTGGTGTGTTGCTTGCAACCCATGCATGGGGCTTCACTTGTTTGCGCGGCCCGGTTTCTGGCATGCGGGGCCCGGTGCTGGTTCACGGATCTGAGGTTTGGGGGCTCTGGCTGTTCCGACCAAGGCTTCCTGAGACAGTAACAATCACGCGCTGTTCCCAAAACCTTTTTTTTTTTTTAATTTCAACAGCTGTGAATTATATGCATTCCCAGCCGGTAATGAGTCCCAAACAGTTTGTGAGTAGTCCAGCAGAAGCCTGCCACAGTCTTTTGGGATAAGGCTGATAAGCACCCACCTTTATCTCCCTGGAAATGCTGCCAACGACTAAATTACCAATTAGCTGTACAGGGCCAAACGGAGCACGAAGTCAACACGGAGCTTCAGAGTTTAAATTGACCAGAACGAACAAAGTTGCTTCCTGCAAAGGCTCATGTCCCTTTGCTCCTCCTTTATGTCTTAAGCAAGGGGCCAGTTATCTCCAAGCCTTACTCTCGAGTTGCCCCGTTTGTCTTAACTGTTCTTGCCTTCTGGCAGCTCTGCACAAGCGCGCATGGGGAACAGGCTCCCCCTGTTCCTCTTCCCTGCTGATGTCAGATTCTGGAGGCTTCAGAGTCGGCACCTAACTCTCAGGTGGCCCTGGCCCCGTCTCCGTGTCAGACGCAGATTCCCTCGTCCGAGCCCTCCCCAGACTCCAGGACTGGCCCGTGTTCCTCCCCACTGTCCGACTCTGCTGTCAGCTCCGCAGGCCGCCAACGGACCACAACACTGCCCTAAGCGAGCTTGGCGTGAGGTTATTGGAGAAATCGACCCGCACTTGTGTGTTTTTTTTTTTTGCTGTGCTTGAGTTCAGCTTAGTTCCTGTTTTCAGGAACGAGCTGCTTTGCGAACAGTGAGAGGTGGGGTGAAGTAGAAAGCAATTTCTGCTTCTTTCAGAACAAGCCAACCATGGGAAAAGAGTGACGCAGATTGGCTGGGTGGAAAGGGGGGTCTGAAGGTCTTTGCCGATTCAGCTGGTTCCCCTTGGTTCTCTTCTGCTGAACTATGTTCCAATCGGGCTCTCGGTGAAGGGGATTGCAACATGCTGGCTGGACACAGCTCTCCTGGCCAAACCAAGAGTCCAAATTCTCCTGCTTGAGAAGGGCTGGCATGAGAAAAACCTTGCCTTTTTCTCCCTCCCTCCCACCTATAATTTATGTTTACCTGCCACTCCTTCCTCCTCCTCTTTTCCCCACAACAGCAACCACTACCCTGTGAGGTGGGTTGGGATGAGAGAGAGAGGGAGGAACCGGTCGGTCACCCAGCCGGCTTTTGTGACACACCGTCTCCCTGGGTTTGGCCCAAAGTCACCCAACTGCTTTGATGGCCAAACACTTCCTGATCAGTCCTGGTTGACTGGAAGTAGTCTCCGGTCTAATCCAGCCAAGCTGATGTTTCTAACTCAAGAAAGTATCGAAATACACCAAGAATCATCCAGTGAACTCCATGCCAGAGAGGAGACGTGACTCTCAGTCATCTCACCTTGGTTCTGCTGATTTAGACCCGACCCCAAGTGGTTGTTCAAGAGATCAAGATGACGTACACAGTATAGATCGGTGCTTCTCAACCTTGGCCACTTTAACGTTGCACAGCATTCTCAAGAGACTCTTCCCATCCTGCTTACAATCTTTATGAACTGTTGCCTTCCGGCAGGAGATACAGAACAGTTAAAACTCAGACCACACGTTTTTCTGAATAGTTTTTATCCCAGAGCTATAATTGCACTTAACAATGAACTTAAGCACCACCATCAGTGAGCTGTTGGACAGGATTATTGGGTCTGTTGTGTGGATGCTTGTGTGTTTTTAGGGGGCGGGGAATTTTGGCAGGTGGGGGTGTGTTTGGGGGGTTGTCATGTGGGTGCATGTTGAGTCTGGTCTATGGGTGTCACATGAATTTCATTGTATGTATACTGTGTCTATACTTACAATGACAATAAAGAATTCAATTATGATACATGGACTTCAATTCCCCAGTCAGCTTCCAATTCTGGGAGTTGAAGTCCGTACATCTTAAAACGGCCACGGTTGAGGAGCATTAATTTACCAAATATGCTATCAACATGTAAAACATTCTTATGCCATAAGAAAGAGAGGGGAAAACCCTGAAGGAGTATACGGCAGATGCACTCAGAAGCTCATTCCAAGTTTATCTCACAAAGATTGTAACTGAGGCAACCGGGTGTTCTGGGCATGAAAATCTTCTATTGGAGAGCGTGATTGATGACACCCAGCCAATGAACATGTTTCGTTGGACAACCTGGATTATGATATACCCTGGGTGGTGGGGAGAACAGGGTCATAGGTGATTTGTAAATTCCCTATCGCAGAGTCAGCTCCATACAGGTCATGCCACTGTCAAGGCTCCGACAAATCCACCCCATTCAAATCATAAGTCTCTAGCCGCATCTTTCAGAGTGAAAAAAAAAAAAGATTTATTAGGACCATGTTGGCATTACCTGGGTGCAGCCGATACTAAGACATATCATTCATTTCCCCCTTGACCCTGGTCTTCCTTCCAACCCCTGGATATATATTCTCCAATGGGACACATCCACAGCCAAGAGTCATCAATCTTGCTCTCCAGTAATAATCTTGCATGCCAACAGCTTCGGCTGCCTAGCAATTACCTGAAGCATTTGAGGAATGCACTGCTTTTCCCCACTTCCTTTCTGCTGGCAACTAAAAAGTCCCAAGAAGTATTCTTTAGTTGACAGCCAGTATATGGCACCTAATAAATCCTTTGAAGTTTTTTGAAGTTTGGCTCGAGGCTCATGATTTCATTAGGGCGCTCGCTGGAATCCTGACATACGCACTGTGGTGGGTTTTTCTTCCCCTCTTCTTTTCAGCTGCCACGGGCTGTTGGCACCCAAACCTTGAGCGGAGCCGGCCTCCTGAAGATGTTCAACAGAGCCACTGATGCAGTCAGCAAAATGACCATCAAGATGAACGAATCGGACATTGTAAGCTGCCGAGCATCTCATGCTCCGTATGAAAACCACCCTGTATCTTGTCCCTGAGATTGTCTGAATGCGCAGTCCTCTTCCTACGATGACTTGTTGGGGTTGGTTCTCTGCCCCGTCTCTCCTCTCTAGTGGTTTGAAGAGAAACTCCAGGAAGTGGAAGGCGAGGAACAACGTCTGCGGAAGCTCCACGCAATTGTAGAAATGCTGGCCAATCACAGGAAAGGTAACTCCCTTGAGGAACTAGCTACGGGCAGTTGGAAAACTGTTGTCAATTTTGGATTTCATCACTTGGAAACCTGACAACTGTAGGGTCACCTTTCAGCTTTACAAAAACTCCAGATTTGGAACCTTGAGTTGAGGATAGGCAGTCCTCGTGTTAAGAATGTCCGACTTAAAGACGACCTCTAGAAACCAGGCTAAGTTGTGAGTCCTATCTACATCTTAGGGGTGGTCTCTTTGGCGCCACAGTGGCTCAGTGGTTAGAATGAGGTATTGCAGGGTAATTCAGCTCACTGCCAGCAGTTTGATCCTGACCGGCTCAAAGTTGACTCAGCCTTCCGTCCTTCCAAGGTTGGAAAAACGAGGACTCCCGATTGTTTTTGGGGATCTATAAACTGCTTAGAGAGGGCTGTAAAGCCCTGTGAAGCGGTATATAAGTCTTAAGTCCTATTGTTATTATAAACCATAATTCCCTTCTACGATATAATTCCTCCCTCCACCACCTTCCAAAATTACTTATCTGAAAAGCCCTTAAAATGTGGTTTTGTCAACGGGCTTGGGAACCCCGAATGGAGCAGAGCCAATCAAGCGGGTGATTTTATTGTGTCGTGGCTGCCAAGAAGAATGAGATGTGTGTTTTGTTTTGATTTGTTCGGGGTTGGGTGTTTTTTTTTTTCCCTAACAAAAACTGGATTTTTGTTGCGTGGCGATTTTTAAAGACAAAATTCGTAAGCCACCTAGTGTCCTCTATACATGAGTTGGATGGCTATATACATTCGATTAATAGATAAATAAAAACCCTGGGTTTACTTTATAAAGACTGGGAGGGCGGAGGGTACTGAGCTCTTAATTCCCAGCAACCTTAGCTGGAGGACCAAGATTTGGGGAGGTTCAGGCAGGGGTGGAGTCCCCACGTGGCCCATTTTGGAGGCAGGGAAGTGCAGAGCGCATGCGGGCCTCCCGGAACTTTGGGAAGGCCAGAAATGGGCCTGTTTCCAGCTTCCAGGGAGCCTCCAGAGCCTAGGGAGGACGTTTTCGCCCTCCGGGAAGCTCCAGGAAAGCCTCTGGAGTCCGGGAGGGTAAAAACTCGCCCCCTCCCTCCTGCCGTGGTGCAGGAGGCCAAGTAGGCCACGCCCACCATGGCCATGCAACCAGGTAGAGAACCCATTGCTAAAATTTTTGACGCCCACCCTTGGGCTTAGGGGTTTAGATTTGACGGCATTTTTCTCCCAATCTGACATCATCATCCTCATCTCGGGAAGTTGTGTCCATTGGGGGCCCTTCTTTTCTGCTTCTGTGTCACTAGCAAGGAAGCGCCATCTTCCCACACTCCCCTTTCTCTCCTCCAGAGCTGTCGTTGAATACCTCTCAGTTTGCCAAGAGCCTGGCTATGCTGGGCAGCTCAGAGGACAACACGGCCTTGTCTCGGGCTCTTTCCCAACTGGCCGAGGTGGAAGAGAAGATCGAGCAGCTGCACCAGGAACAGGCCAACAGTGACTTCTTCCTCCTGGCGGAACTCCTGAGCGACTACATCCGTCTCCTGGCTTCCGTGAGGGTAAGGGCTGCAGGTGTCTTGCCTGTGATGACCCAAAGGGGCGTGGCACAAAGGCAACGAAGTCAAATAAGCAAGAAGTGTCCTTGTAATACCTCCAACTTTGCTCCCAATGTCCAGTTACCTTTGGCTGGAGAAAAAACTCTCCCAAGAACAGTCTTTAAGTGGAGGAAATTCAGTCCGAAAACAAAGTATATACAAACTGTAGCTAAAAATCCAGACAAACCACAATGCAGCAATTAACTGAACAGGGCAGGAGAAGGAATTGCAGACTTCAAAGGCCAACAAAACACACACAGTTGGGAAGCAGCCAGGAACACAGATAAGCCTCGACAAAACAAGATAATACACAATTTGTTTCCCACAAGTTGCAGTGCGCAAACTCCCTTTTTAAACACTGTGTTCCCAGCTGCAGCTAATGAAGGGAATCAGGGCCCTTTCCTCCCCCGTAAGCCACGCAACTCAGGTTGCTCCGTTCCTCCCTATGTGCCCTAGGATGAAGAGGGGGTGGGCCTGGAACTTCCACTGAACTCCCTCTCATTTGTTTTACCTCTCTCCTGCTCTGCCCAGCCGGACTTTGCCCTTCCCCAGTTTCCTCCAAAGCCAACGGAGCCTCCCGCTCCCTGTCAGCTGCTCGGCCTCCCCCTCCGAATCAGATTCCGACAGGGGCATGACATCCCCAAAGGCAGGGATGGATGGTGCCCACACAGCTCCTTGGCCATTGTGGTGGGCGAGGGCTATGCCGGTGGTCCATTAGGATGGCAGTAGTCTATAAAGTAGAATATTTGTAGCTCTGGGTTGAAAGGAAGAGTCCTTGGGGCTCTCTGAGCTTGGTGGTTTTCTTGCAGATGTTTCATTAACTCTAGTAACATCCCCAGTGCCAGAAGGACATACTTTCATGTTGAACAGAGAGCAAACCCCACTCCCATTTAGCACTGATGATGTTACCTAGTTGGGTGATGAAACATCTGCAAGAAAACTACCAAGCTCAGAGAACAGCGGGGACCTCTGGTAAGAGTTTACACCATTTAAGAGCCGAGTGGCGCAGTGATTAGAGCGCAGTACTGCAGGCTACTTCTGCTGACTGCTGGCTGCCTGCAATTTGGCAGTTTGAATCTTCCCCAGGCTCCAGGTTGACTCAGCCTTCCATCCTTCCAAGGTGGGTAAAATGAGGACCCAGATGGTTGGGGGCAAGAGGTTGACTCTGTAGATCACTTAGAGAGGGCTGTAAAGCCCTGTGAAGTGGCATATATGTCTAAGTGCTATTGATAATGCCCTTCTTTCCTTCCTTCCTTCCTTTCCTTCCTTCCTTCCTTCCTTCCCTCCCTCCCTTCCTTCCTTCCCTCCTTCCTTCTTTCTTTCCTTCCTTCCCTCCCTCCCTCCTTCCTTCCTTCGTTCCTCCCTTCCCTTCCCTTCCCTCCCAGTGATTAGAATGCAGCATTGCAGGCTAACTCTGCCCACAGTCGGCAGTCCAATCCCAACTTGCTCAATATTGACTCAGCCTTCTGTCCTTCCTGAGATGGGTCAAACGAGGGCCCAGATGGTTGCGGGCAAGAGACTTATCTCTGTAAACTGCTTCGTTCACAAAGCACCGTGAACCTGCATATAATAAGTCTTTAGTGCTATTGCTGTTTACCCTGGACTTGGTCGCTGGTCTGAGCTCAGTTTCCCCATGGGTGATGTGATGCTTCCAGTGATGAATCTCTCCCGACAGGGTGCCTTTGACCAGAGAATGAAGGCTTGGCAGCGCTGGCAAGACGCCCAGGTCACGCTGCAGAAGAAACGGGAAACGGAGGCCAGGCTTCTGTGGGCCAACAAACCCGACAAACTTCAGCAAGCCAAAGAGGAGATCTCGGAGGTGAGCGGGAGGGAGTCCTCTCCTGAGCATGCCCAGCGCAGTTTTCACCGGACGTGAACAACCATCGGGCCACTTTTAAGCGACCCCAATAGTTGCAGGCGGCTTTTGAATTTGGACGATGTGGACTTTTTTTTTAAAAAAAATACTTTTTTAAGGATGCATTCCTCTCCTCCCCCGCCCCCAACGTAGTTTGGCTTCTGCTGACGAGGCAGCACTGCTGCATTGTTTAACCAGGTTCTTTTATTTATTTATTTTTTAAAATCTATTTTGTTTTCTATTTCTTCAGTGGGAATCTCGCATGACTCAGTATGAACGGGAATTTGAACGTCTCTCTGCTACCCTCCGGAAAGAGGTCTTACGGTTTGAGGTAGGCAGGATGGATCTTTTAGCACAGCAAAACCACACCTCCCCACTTTCACGGCGGCCAAAGAAGCAGAACTAATGTCAGGAAACGTCTGTCTCGCCACCCACACAAAGATTCACTTCCCAGATTAAGAGAGGCCTGGAGGATCCGCTTCCCTCAGCAGCTTTCTCGGCCTCAGGGAAAAGGAAGGAGAACCAAGTAGGGGACTTCAAAGATAATTTAATTAGCCGCGTTTCCCTGAAAACAAGACCCTGCCTTTTATTTTATTGTATTGTATTATTTTATTTATATGTATGTAGGGGTGTGTGTGTGTGTGTGTGTGTGTGTAAATAAAAAACAGGGATAGATAGATAGATAGATAGATAGATAGATAGATAGATAGATAGAT